CCCCAAAACCCCAAAACCCCACTTATCAAGCATAAGTTCAAGATTAAAGTGAATTAATTATAATTATAAATTAAGATGCTTGGAAAAAGAAATAGAAATTCTCAGTCTAAAATTATTAAACAGGGTTAAGAAAATTCTGATCAAAAGATTCAAGACTTATCTCCAACTCATTCATATGATAGTGATAGCAGTGATGATGGAAATTTATTTCTCAAAAGAATTACCTAAGATAGAAATAAAAGAAAAAAATAAGAGGAAATAGATAAGGAGAAGTATGAAAATTCTGAGGAGATGAAATAGTTTAAAATGGCTAAAAATTAGTAAAATTTGATGAAAATAGAATTATTGAAAAGGCAACCTAGCTTTTTATCGAGAGATGTGCATTTACTATACAATCTTAAATTTTAAAGAGTGGTCATATTCTCTATGTATCAAAGAGTTTTTAGGCCTTCAGAATGTATAAGTAAGCTTGTATTCGATGAGATGAGCAAGAATTTTTACTTTTATTCATACTCATAAAAACGAATAAATATTGTCAAAATAGATTTTTCAGAACATATGAAAATCGCTTATTAGTAATTTTTAATTAAGTTGGAGTATCTAAGATAAAGTAACAAAAATTAATAAATTAAAAATGATTAATTAGAAGATAATGAATATCAGATTTTTGACATCGTTGATTATGCAAGGAATAATCCTTAAAACGAATACTTTGTAAACACAATCAATGATGGAATTTAGTCTAATAACTTGAGTATCAATCATTAAATAAATTAAGAGGAGCAAACAATAGAGTTAGGTGTGGTAAAGTAAAGGGTAAATGCTGATACGAAAATTATACGATATTTTTTTGACAAAATAAAATTAAAACTGTTACATACCTAATAAAGTTTAAATTAATTAATTGATTATTATGAAAATAGGAATTAGGCTAATTATTCAATGAAAAAACCAATTTAAAGTCAGAATACAAAAAGACATTTTAGCTTGGCTAATGGAGAATTCTATCTGACAAATGATTTTTACACAGGAAATTCATTCATTTAAAATGCTAATAAAGTTTTGAGTAATAATTAGAAATCTAAAAGTGAAGATATTATAAAGCTGATATTACCAAACAATAAACCAATAAAAAATGTCAAGAAAGTCATTGAATTATCATAAACTTACGTAAATTGCAATAATTAATAATCATACCTTGATATGATTATAAGGTAAGTTTATATTAATATCTTCCTTTTCTTATTATTACTATTATTAATTTACTAAATAGTTGTCAAAATTACAAGATTTACAGAATAAGAATTAACCAAATGAAGGAAGCAAACATTCAAACTATATATGATTACAAAGAACCAGAGAGATTTTATTAGGCACAAAAAATTGAGAAGATGATACTTTACAAAGACAGATATTTGCTGTTTTAAAATATTCATATGAAGTTAGTTGCTTTCGACTTGCTCTTAAATAGTCAGATATTTGAAAAGGAGATACCTAAATATCATGACATTGATGATATAAATGAACCAAGAGGTCATTCAATTTTACTAGCCTATTCAGATGACTTAGACTCAAAGTCTATTATAGGTTATTTCGACTGATATATTCCTTAATTTTATAAATATAAGAATAAATTAAAGTTAAACATTAGTTAGACATTGTTTTTTGGCTTAAGGGGTTTTGGGGTTTTGGGGTTTTGGGG